ACTACCGTGTTGTTATTTTATATTCTGCTAGAAATATTTAACAAAGTTTGCGTCTTTTCAGGACTGTAGACCTTTATTATGGTATTAACTAAACGAGATAATTTATTAAGTTGGATTCTCTTATTCAAAAGCCTACGGCCTCCTAAGACCTTGTTCTGCGATCCGGATCTATGATACATTGATCACAAAAAACATCGCTTCCCCACTATCGAGTACCTACTTTTATATCTATAATTCTACCCCCCTTTTCCCAGTTTCTAATTTTTAATTTTGTTCTCTCATTTAAATGTATTTTCAAAAAAAACATTTTTCTATATTTCTTGGTTTTGTGATGTTTGTATCATCAATTGCGCTCTTATAAGCAACATCTTAATTAATATTGGGCCACGCCTTCCTCCCTTCCTACACAGACGGCCGCTTCCTTTCTGAAATCTTCCCACTTAAATTTAGAGACAGTCAAAGTAGCTTAAGTGTCGCTTTTATTTAACATTTTCACGGTCCCATCGTGTGGCTGTTACTTAATATAGGAATTAGGGTGGCCTTCAGAGGTTTTGCGGTCATCCAAACCTTTTAGAAAATCGTACCAATGGTTAAAAAGTTTGATTTTAACACACACAAATTCTGATCTCATAAGTCAAAATTCCCTTGACATGATTGGTACACCAACGCTCTCTGCAGTGTAACTCTATAACTCTTGTTTTATATCTTAATTGCGTCATGTTTGTGTTTTATTGATACAATATTTTATTTTCCGTCTATACACAAACTTAAAATAATGTTGTTTAAAATTATTTAAAATTATAACATTCTCAGTAGATACTGTATCTTGTTACATTTTGTATTGACGACATGTTTCGATGTGTATTACATCATCATCAGGTCTATCAATTTTAAAAACTGTTGCACATCTTGCGTTGCGTATATTGATTTGTTTGATTTTTAAGTCTCTTCCTTTTAAATTTGAAGGTTGTGCTTGGATGTTTTATATCTGTAAAATTAATTTTCAAATCGTGATAACTCTTTAAATTAGTAAATTATTATATTTCCTATGTCAATATCCAAAATCACGATTTGAAAATTAATTTTACAGATATAAAACATCCAAGCACAACCTCCAAATTTAAAGGAAGAGACAAAAACTTAAAATTAAACAAATAACTCTTGTTAACTTCGAAGTCCTACCAAGATTCTGTGCCAACAGCACTGAAAACAGGTCTAGTCCATCACTTGACGGATGGGGATTTCAATAATTACTGCAGTCAGGAAGTCATGGACGGGAGTATAATATTAAAATGAATCTTAATTTGTACGGGAGGAAATGAACTGGTTTCATATATCTCGGGACAAAGATTGTGGCGAAAACTTGTGAACAGGGTAATAAATCTTTGGTTTCCGCAAAACCCAGAAAAATTCTTGAATAGCTAAACGACTATTAGCTTATAAACGAGGATTCCGTGGGATTGCTTAATAAGTTAGCCCAGAATGTTTAGGCATACGAAAACGTGAAACATAGGATGATATTTTCAATCAAGTAGACCATGAATCAGGTACCCAATTACGTTATGTATGTATAAAAATATCTATCTATGTATACTAGATCAATGATCTATAATGTACGTACTAGATACTGATAGAAGCTTAAGCGTCCAGTACACGAACATTCAAAGTTAAGCGCTCAGACTTTCGCGCCGTAGATAAGTTTGTACATTTAAAAACGTGAAGAATTCGGATAAATGAATTTTTAGGGCATCTTTAAAAAAACTGTGGTATCGATTACACACGAAGTCTGTATTCTAAGAATACGCCCTTACAATGAGTCCTAAACGGAGATAGCAGGGCTATCGCTGGAATTTGGACCACGTTTTCGAAATCAGAATTGTGTACAACTGTTTTCAAGACACAGTGTCTGTATTCTATAGAAAATTACAACTTTTCTTGAAAGAATTTTATCTCAATTAAAAACTTATATATTCGCTGGAACGTGTAATTTTGCCCTAAATTAGCGTCGGCCCAAAATAAAAATTAAAATATACGAACAAAGATTCAGCGAAAGTGTAATTTCAAAAAAATGTTTGAATATCGTCTCTGTAGTAACATATTATTAACTTTAAAAACACTAAACATTTACAAAACGTAAAATGTTACGAGTTTCATCTTTAAAGCAATGCAACGATGATGAGTTTAATTTAATATTACTATTTTTTTTCTGGACTAGTTCTATAGTTCAGTATTCTAAAATGAGCCCAGTACGTTTCGGGAGCTATCTCCGCTGCCGTCTTCAGGTGAAAATACCTATTTTGTTGGGTCCAACAGAAATGCTCCAATCCCTGTTCCCCTGAACTAGGGATCGGCCTTTTCTATCAGATCCAACAGAGTAGGTATTTTCAGTTCCAGCAGTTGGCTGTAAAATTTGTAACAATTTAGTGGTAATTTAGTACTCATTTGACGCCAAATGTTTTTCAATGTTACCAACAGTGAAAATAATAATCTACAGAGCAATAGAAGCTGAGAAGAACTGGTAAGGATAAAAGGGATGAGAATATTAAAATAAATAAAATAAAGAATTGTTTAATAAGAAATAGGCAGATTAGACTACATAAAGACAGATGAAGAAGTAGTAAAAGAAGGAACGAAGAAACTGTAAAGCAGTGGGAAACCAAGAAAAATATAGATAACGTTATGTGGAGGATATATTTCAATAACTAAAATATGAAAGAAAGATTTAGAAAGAGAAGAAAAGAGGAACATGGCGAGGAAATTATCGTAAAAACGGAAAAAAGATATTATATGATATTCGCAGATAAATCTTCTAAAAAAACTATTATTTTCACAATAAATTTGTAAGGATTCCCCCCGCTGTGATATACTGGAATGTTTAAGTTCATTGTTATTAATTTATATTATTGTAAATAACTCTTCAAAATAATGTATAGACTTCAATTATTAATGTTAATGTTGAATTATTATTAATTCCGTAGTATTTTATGGTAAGCGTGTAGCGTTACTAATTCTCGTCATGCCACAATTTTGAAATTACAAATTATCGATGATGTATACAAGATGATTTGTCTCTTAGATTTGAATTAGACTGTGCAATGTTTGAAATCACCAGTGAAAGTCTATTCATTGTTTGTAAATACGTATGTAGCCTACATCGCTTTGATACATATTAACTATATTAATTATATGTTACCATGGAAATAAGCCCATACAAACAGAAGAATAATTTAAGTAAAATCCAATTTTGAAAGGGGAAAAGAATTGACATATATTTTTAGTATCTGTCTACGTAACAGACAAGTGTTGGTTAGTGATTACATTTTTTTAAAATCTCTTCAACATAACATTTATTTAAGTTATTCGTACCAATTTATGGTCTTATTTGTACTTTTAACAAAATAAATAAGCGAATTTAAATGTAATGTTTGTGTATGTGATTAGATCTACGTTACATTCCATAAGTTCCATCGAAATGCGTTTTATACATTGTTTTGCATATTTTCTGTTAAATCATTTGTTTATCTGAGTTTGTAACAGCATTACAAATTGATTAATTAATGCAGTTAGGCCAATGGTTTGGTTGGTTGTTGACCATTCTTTAATAAACACTGTTTTCAGTTCTCGGTCTATTGGCCATTACCTATCCGTACCTGCGGTTAATCAAAATATCGAATAACGCTACATTTCTCAATAAAACACGTGTTTGTTTGTGGTTAACAAAAGTTTAGGCGGAACTGAGCAAAACCTCAGAAAGTATAATCGATATTGTTAACCAAAAATTGTTTCCGACCTTCGCCATAAACCCAGAGAAGTCGAAACAATTGCTACGCGCCGTACGCACTAATATTCCTTAACCGTGTTGTAAGCCGCTGGCTTGCTCGGACTAGGACGTGGGATTGTGTCATCTGGAGATTGGAGATCACCAGAGACACTGTCTCACCCCTTCGTAACAATAACCTTCCCAGGCCCAAATACTGACTTCGAACCCCGCGTGCAGTATAAATATTTACTTTAATTTTTATGGAGATTGATAATAACGTTCTGTGATAATCTTACCTCAGTTTTAACATAATATATCAGTGCAGGTAACACTTGAATAATTTAACCGTTCCATTCTAAATTATTAATATATTTTCTCAAATATTTTAATATTTTCCGTCAAATCACAATTTTAATAAGATAATAAAATATAAAATATTTAAAATATCATTTCACGTTCCGCATCGAATGATCGATTTACAAATTGGAACGTCTCTCTCTCTCTCTCTCTCTCTACGTTCCAATTTGTAAATCGATCATTCGATGCGGAACGTGAAATGATATTTTAAATATTTTATGTTTTATTATCTTATTAAAATTGTGATTTGACGGAAAATATTAAAATATTAACCTAATTCACAATATGACGCAAATATATTACCTTATATTTTCTCTGTTTGTGTGTATCTCCATATCATAATTAACGTATAGGCCTAGTCTAACTCTGTCATTAAAAATCACAACTATAATTGAGTTTAGCCAACTTCAAGTCACTTGATGCACTCAAATTATGAAAGAAATCAAGATATATCTGTTCTAGAGACGTAAGAAAGTTGAAGTATATCTCCACACACACACGTGTACTACATTAAGGTGAGTCGCTGATGCGAAATTTCAAAGTTTCTCAGAGAAGGAGAGAATTTTGTTTCTAATTTTGGCGCTGGATGAATTATATTCAGAAATAAACAGGGTCAAAGTAGCCTAGGTTGTGGAAAAGGTCTTCTCAAGCAGACATTTCTACGAGCAAAACCCAGCTGTGCGTCACTGCTTCTCGTTCGAAAGACTCTGGGTTCGATTCTCGGCACAGAAATCGTTTCTCAGTCCCGATATACTTTTGAAATCCTACTCGAAGACGGCCCAATATCCCTTCTTTACAATCTATCACACACAAGTCATTCATTAGTTGATACAGCGTCTTTAAAACAGTTATAATGAGTGAAGGTAAGTGGTTTGTTACTCACCGCTGGACTCAGCTCCCCCCGAAGACTGAGCGCTCAGCCCTAGTATCGCATCTATGGTGTGACGCGGTCCGGCCTGCTGGGACGACGCCTTGACTTGCAACCCGCTGAACAACATCCTGGCCGTAACCAGGTCCGCGGCAGTATCGCTGCCTTCTGCCTCCATCGCCTACCGGAGACTGCCCTTCTCACCCAGTCTCAAAAAAGATTTAGGGCCCTCTCTCTCTCTCTCTTCACACAGCAACGGAATTCACATTAACCCCCCGTGCCCCCCAGGGGTACATTAAGGATCCTGGATAGGGCGGGTCCATCGAAAGGGGGCGTGACGTCATCGAGCGAGCAACCAATCACGGTCGGTGTACTAACCCCACTTTCAAGCTCGCAATCGACTGACGATCGAAAGACAGTTTACCGCTTGGGTAAATGATGTGTTGTGGAATAACTGAGCTAATTTATGCTGTCAGGAGAGATTCACTTCGAGGCGGATTTATTTTCATTGTTGCGTAACGACGCTGAAATCTCGTAAAACAGCCGAACGTGAAATGAGAGATCTGATTAATCTGGGCTGTTTGTGGATTCCGCTACTAGGAAGCGCTGATGTACGACCGAGCTGTCTTGTTAACTGGGCGAATATAGAACAGCTGAAGTGGACATCGGACAATTCGCGATAGCGAGCTGTTGAGGTAACACGGATATAAACAAGAAACGATACCGGACGGTGACCTAGAGACGTAAATAAATTTAAAAATAATTGAGAAACTTTTATTGTATACGTGACTTTCTAAAAACACGCGGAATAAAATATAATTTGGTTTTCGTGTCGTGATATTTTTGTGACGCGAGGCTGTTAAAACGTTTCTGGAGACCTTGCAGAATTTTCGGTAGTTATAATGTTCTCCAAGAACCTATCGCATCCATCTTCGTAGTAGACGTATCAGACTATTTTTATCTTCAGTCGCTTTGAAATTCCGGTAATACCAGGTGCATATTCTTTGTATTTCTGCCATGAGGCGAATTTTTAAATAACGTCTCTCTAAATGCTTTCGACGATTTAACTCGTAATTTGTTACCAAGTACATTTCATAGAATTAATTATAGACAGGGCTGAAGGTACGACACGTATCATCTACATGCAGAATTTTGGTTCGGAATGAATTGAGTTGAATTAGTCTATTGTACATTTGTTTAAGGCCGTAGTCCGTACGTAGAAGGTATTATAAAATTTTATGAAAAATTTTGTAGGCTATTAATGTTTTTGAAACACTAAGGTACGGAGGGTCGAAGACGTGGGCCGATCCTGTTCTTATGGGAGTACGTTCTGTAGTCGAAGCTGACGTAGTTTTTATATGTGAATCTCAAACAAAGTCCAGCGGTACAATTCTTCCAGGCTTAATTTTTATATTTTCCGGTTCAGGTCATAAAAGTCGTAAGACGTACGGTAGGCCTATTGTCAATGTGGGAGCAGGCTTAAATTTAAAGTTAAAACGGAATCAGTAAAAGTAGGAATTTCAGTTTACACCCCACATAATTTTATTTGCACCGAATAACCATAAACATTAAAATGTTATGAGATGATAAAGTTGCGTCATATTGTGATAAATATATATTTGTTTCAATCTTGTCAGTCTAATCACAATAAAATTCCTATTAAAAATATTAAAATATTACATTACATGTAAATCGAACATTTCGATAGAGAATATCATTTAATATATTTAAATGTTAATTATTGTAATATTTTAATATTTTTAATAGGAATTTTATTGTGATTAGACTGACAAGATTTAAACAAATGAAAATGTTATTTAATTAAATCCAGTTTTCAAATGGCACAATCTGAGAGGGCTGAAATTAATAGGCCTGACACCTTCCATGGCATATACAGGAGGTATCTCGCTTAGAAGCGATAATCTTCGTAGTCTGAAATTTTTGGTCTGTGTTATCTTTCAATGAGATGTAGTAATTTTCGTGGATTTTCAGCGATACGAGCTATGTATTTCTTGTCATGAAATAAAAGTAACATTCATTTTATTTAAATTAAGGGAACAAGTAAGTTGTTAACAACCATTGAAATAATTAATTGAAAAAAAATTTCCTTGGATATTATCCATCGTCTAGTAAAATATAAAACGTAAAAACGACGTTTCGGAGATGGGCCTCTATCTCCGTCTTCAGGTTCCTACACAGTTGGGCCCACTAGATAGAGCTAATCCCTATCTCCGGACTTTTTCCTTGGATATTATCCATCGTCTAGTAAAATATAAAACGTAAAAACGACGTTTCGGAGATGGGCCTCTATCTCCGTCTTCAGGTTCCTACACAGTTGGGCCCACTAGATAGAGCTAATCCCTATCTCCGGACTTTTTCCTTGGATATTATCCATCGTCTAGTAAAATATAAAACGTAAAAACGACGTTTCGGAGATGGGCCTCTATCTCCGTCTTCAGGTTCCTACACAGTTGGGCCCACTAGATAGAGCTAATCCCTATCTCCGGTCCGGAGATAGGGATTAGCTTAATTCATACTTTCAAGCTTAAAATAATTATAATACTTCGTGTATCATCTCAAGTTTTCATGGAGGCGATACTTTGGATTGTAGCTCCGTATAGTTTGGCACAAACTTACCGACGATTCAGAGGTACATGCTGCCTCCATCATCAGGGCGGAGATGATAAAACAGCATCTTTTATAATAGTTCTCACTAATTATAAACTGAATTGTAGGCTAAAATATTGGTTTAGGCTATGAATCTTTTTGGATATGTTGCGCGTCGCTATAATTTATATGGTAGTATGTTCATTGTCGATGGCAGTAGCTCTGGGGTAAATTCAGAACAAATACACAAATAAAACAGAGACCCCCAATAATCAGCAACGTTTAATTTACCAACAACTCAGACTGAGTACATAAAAATATACAAACGTGATTAATGCAAAATTTAATTTACAAAACCACACTGCCTATGAAAATGTTACAAAATAATGAGTAGAGTGGAGATTGGTATCTGCTGTCGGTGTTCTGTAAGGAAGGGTCATGGGTCATGTTGAAATGCAACAGAGGATGCCCGTTGTAGACACGTCATTAAAAGTTATCTCAGAGGGTACATGAAATGCATGAAGTTGTATATGCCCAGAACAGGGGTCGGTAACCTTACTAGAATTAAGAGCCCTTTTTGTAATACCCCTAAGAAGTAACCTCTTGGAGAGTTGACTTCTCACAGCGCAGTCCCGAGTTCAAACCCAGGCCAGTCTATGTTACCGTGTTGATAGCGGTGAGAGATTTTAAACCAGCTTCGACTGCATTGGAGTATAGGCATATTTTGTTACTTTAAGGTTTATAGAGTCGTATAATAAGACTTGTAAGACCTCTGTAATCCCTAATGAATAGCTGATGGCATCAAAGACATGTAAAATGTAAAATTATTTACGTTTTCCATTGATACAAAACAGTTGAAATTAATTTTGTAATATAAATACTGAAAAATAACTAGGCTATTTCAAATTCTACGAAGTTCTGAATAGAAAGACTATATAAGTAAAATAAAGAAAAATAGACTATAATCTTTAATTAATTATTCTTGTCCGTCTAATCACAATTTAAAATTTAAAATTAAGATAATTAAAATATCATGTGATGTTCCTTATCGAAACATTCGATTTACATTTAGAACATCTTTTTCTTACGACATGTTTCGGTTCTTAAATGAACCATCTTCAGGTGTATAAAAATTAAAATTATATAAACTTAAAACTTAATCGTAATTTCTTATATGCAACTTTTTTTATGTTGTTCTAACTGTAAATCGAATGTTTCGATAAGGAACATCACATGATATTTTAATTATCTTAATTTTAAATTTTAAATTGTGATTAGACGGACAAGAATAATTAATTAAATATGCATCTTCACAATATGACGCAACTATACCATCTTATAATCTTTAAGTTAGTATGCTTACAATTTCTGTTCGTGGCACGACACACCATATTGCGTCATCTGGATGCATCAACATACACAGAGTTGTTGGATTATTTTGGTTAACAAGGAGTTGAATGTAGGATTACTCAGAGAGGAGGGTGGGGTTCGCGAGCCACCGGTTTCAAACTTTTGGCCTTCCACGTCTTTACATCATTTTTGTCATTGATGTGTTTCTGTTGTAAATATTACAGCTGGAATATTAGCTTGTGTTTTACAAACAGTTACACCAAATAAATTCATCTTCGAGTTTGAAGTTATTTAAAATCCAAAAATAAAATAGGACATAATCAGAATATCTATTACGTTTATAACCGTCTTTGAAATATATAAAATAATTATTACACGGTTCTGTACAAATATTATTTTATATTTTATTGATAATCATATGAAGTGGATTCCGGTTTAATTGGGACACATCTGGACTAGAACACTTTGTCTCAATTAAGCGAAGTTCCACGTAAAGAGTTAAAAAGATTTGTTCTTTAAGATTTGCTCCGATTAACCGATGGACCAATTAACCGAAATCTACTGTATTCAAAATTGAAGGTTTGAAGTCGCTACAATTATCACAAGTACGTCCTTATTTCGAACAGTGAGTTCTGTACATTCTTTATGAATGGACTTGATTTGCCACAGACGGAGCACGAACCCTTGATGTTTAATACAGATTCTTGTCGATGAACAGGACTTATCAGCGGCTTCAAAGTTTGGTTTCATTTAACATTTATGATATTTGAGAACCATGTCTTCGGAGCTTAGAGCTTTGCCCAGATGTTGGTAGTTGAAGTCACTGAAAACTGGTGATAGGGGCCTGCATGATTTCCTGACATTCCTCATCGCCGTGGTTCTTTATAATTCCGTCTGGCAGACCTTGGCTAATGAAGAATTGGCGGTGAAATAGAGGGTACCACAGATGATTTTTTTTTTTCATTTCTGGATATTTCATCATTCTGGAGGTGATAGCGTTTGGAAGCGTAAAATTCAGGTGGCCAAACATTCGGATCGTGTTAGAAAAAGTTCCATAAAATCCTGCCTTAGTCGGTGCAGCTCCTGATTGGAATTGTTCGAAACGCATTTATGTATCACTTGGTACCTTTCAGCAGTTTTGGTATTTGAACAGTCAAGGTAAAACGAAGTTCCTTCAAATATCTACAAGAAGATAGAGGCAGACAAGGGTTTAAGAGAC